GACTACAAAGTGATCTGTGGTTGATTGCCACTTGTGCTAGACTTGAGGCACTTGGGCAGGGATATGGTGTGAACAGAGACTGGCTACACTAGTGCGAGACTTGGGGCCCTTTAGTGCATACCATGATGTGAACTGAGGCCAGCTGCCATTTGTGCCAGGTTTGTGGCCACTTAGTTGAAGATCTGTTTCAAGCCAACACTGGCCGTAGTGTATGCCAGGCTTGGGATGCCCTGATGGGAGTTACAGTGCAAGTTGAGATGGGCCACAGGTAGTGCCAGGCTTGGGGCTGCTTAGCAAGAGGTACAGGGCACACCAAGGCTAGGAGGTGATTGTTTTGGGTTTATGGATTTTGAGAGGTTTTAGGAAAGTCCACAGTATGAGCTGAGGCAGGCCACTTATGTGGAAAAGCCTCTGGAAGATGCTTGGGACTGGCATGTAAGTTGGGTTGGGTCTCAGGGAATCACCAGGGTGGGGTAAGCAGTGATAGACAGGTTAATGGAGAGCTCAGGTTCCATACTCCCCTGTGCCGTTAATTGGGTATAGGGACCAATGGCACCTGTCAATGCTTCTGTCCCCAGAGAGAGCTGCCCCTCTATCTCTGAAGTCAGTCAATTCAGTTTTTTTCTCATATGTCCCTGGTGCTCTTCGAGCTGCCGTTTCTGCACTGAATGCCAGAGTGAATGAATCTATGAGAAACAATATGTGTGTGGCCCCTCAAGAGGAACGCCTGGGACTCAAGCAGTGCTTCATAATACTCAGAGGCAATTCCCTGCTGGTTTTCACAGCCAGGTGTATGAGGACTCCTTCAGGGATGGGGAGCCAGGTGTGGGGCAGGGAACTCTCACTCCTAGGGGAGGACCTCTGCAGCCAAGATATCCTTCCCAATTCTTAATTGCCAGAAATGGGTGTGGGAATAAGCCCATTTGGCACCCCCACCCCTCCTACAAGTTTCATAGTGGCTGCTCCTGTATATCCTTAGTTATAGGACTTCTGTTCAGCTTGTCTTCAGGTGGTTCTCAGGGACAGTTGTTTTATAATATGGTTTTAATTTTTATGTGAGGTGGAGGAGAGCACAGCATTTACCTACTTGCCATCTTTACCAGAAGCCCTATAGAGGGTGATTATTTAAATTTCATATTAGATAATCTAATAATAGATAAAAGTATTTCAAGGAAATGAACCTGGTTTCATAATAATTTAGCCCTCCCCCACCCTCAACTTTGCAATTGGCAAGAAACCCTCATAGGTTGCAAGACACTTCATGTTTATACACTCATTAATGATTATTGTTAGTAGTCAATGAAAAGAGGGAACTTATCTTTTGGTAAGAGATACTTTGTTACATTCTGTCATTTCAGGGCTCAGTTTATGACAAGTGGATTAAACATTGTGATTAAATTTTATTTGAGTCTATGAATAAGTATACATAAGACTTTCCTCTAATTCTTTCAGTCAAATTGTTGTTATATACTGCCACCTAGCTAAAACAACTACCCATTTCCAAAAAAGATATAAGGCCCTATCCCTTACTTGTTATAATTAAAATAACACAACTGTCAGAGCATAATTTATTATTTTGAAGAGCTACATGGGGCAGTGATTTATTTCTTTAAGAAACTTTTTAACTGTTGATAAAACAAGCTTTCATTTATGTTTTAGATCAAATTTACATTGTCATTTCAATTTCTAATAGTAATTTTTCATTTTGAGTCACCCTAATGCTATGCACTGTGATTGCTTTCTAAAAGAGTATTTTAAAATCCTCAAGTTATCTATATCAAATGAAGCTGTGTTGCTGATAAACATTTTATGTTCATAGATAGTGGTGATTTGTCACCTAACCTGGAAAAAGATTTGAGACAAGGTTTTTGTTTAATTTCTAAAATCATTTACAAATACAGTAAAATTTTGGATTGCAAGTAACTTGGTTTGCGAGTGTTCTGCAAGATGAGCAAACATTTCTAATACATTTTAACATGGTAAATGAGCAATGTCTTTCAATATGAGTAGTTTGTTTCCGGAACGAATTATGCTCGCAGACCAAGGTATTACTGTATATTTACATATGGGAGATTCTCAATATAGAGCTGTTGAAGGAATGGAAACCAGCTTTCTAGAACCCTCCAAATTTCCAAATGGCTCAGGACCAGACAAACCTTGAAACAAATATACAGGGCTGTCAAGAACTGAAGACCCAAAGATATATGATTTGTGGTTCATTCACCTCCTGGTGGAAAAAGGAGGGTATTCATTGGCAGGCAATAAAAGGACAGTTTTTGCCCATACATTTGTAAGAAGCATGGAGAAGATAAAAGGAACAGAGATTAGCAGAAGACTTCAGAGCTGACTCACAGCAATTAGCCTTGGCAGTGAAAAGAGCAAATACTTCAATAACAGTGATTATTAGCGTTGCAAATTCCCCTCTCCCCACTCTCATTCCCCAAAGACTTCATACCTGTCCTATATCTGTCAATTTTCCTGAATTAAGACACAGTAGCTCAAGAGTGTTTTGGTGCTCAATTATAATGGCTACTATTTATTGAGTACCAGTTGTATTCCAGGCACTTATTTAAATAGTACATGCATCAATTCTTGTATATTCATGAGCACCCAATGAGAACATTTCTATTAGCCTAATTTTGCACAGAACACTGAGACCACAGAGAGATATAATTAGTTGCACAGTAAATGGAACCCAGATTTGAGCCAAGGATTCTTGTTTCCGAGTCCATATTGCTAACCTATAGCCTCCTTTGATGAATTTGAGTTGTATTAAGTTTTTCATCTTGTTGTTAATGATCAGTTAATTCAGAACATAAATACGAATACCATTCAGAAGAAATTTCATGAGAAATTGACCTCTCACATAAGTGTTTATTAACAATGCATTTGTCCATTTTGTTGCATTAACAACTGAATATTAAGGGAAATGGAGATATGTTGCCCAAAGTCACAAGCGCAGAAATTATCTCTTCTAATAGTAATTAAGAATTTGTAGGATTTCAAAAAAGGCCCACCCAAATCACAATTAGACAGTCCTGATGCAAAGAAGTAATTGATTTTCTTATTAAAACAAAACATGTAATGTGAAATAAAACAAGGCTCTATTCCATGTACTGTGTTGTTTTGCTTGGGCTTTGCTTCTGCTTTGCAATGCTCTCCATTGAGGAGGACTGAAGCCATACTACACTCAAGTAGTTAAAGTTCTATGTCAATGATCTATTTTCTATGATAATACATATTTATAGTTTAAATAGATATATAATGATCTATTACAGATGCTTAGTATTTAAGGAAAATAATCTCTTTTATTGGAAGAAATATACTGCTCTTGATAGACAAGCATAATTAAGGGCAAAGAAGAAAAGAACTTAAAGTTACTACTCTAATCCCTTTCGCAATACACAAGACTATGTATTATAGCATTAGCTCTGCAAAGGTAGCTCCATGTCAGAAGACAATTGTAGCATAAAGTATATCATTCATTTCCTAATAAAGATGCAAGTCTTCTCAAAGAAACTTTTTCTTGTACTGATAATTCACAATTGTTCCGTTCAGATACTGTTGAAGAGAGATACTAGAATCCTAGTAATTATAGTTAAGAGTCTTATGTCTAGAAGAGGAGATATCATCATGCCTTAAATTGTACAAAAGAAAGGTATTTTTTTTGGAAATAACTAATTATTTCATTGACAACTCAGGGGATATTAGTAGTTGAAATGAAGGCTATAGCTTTCTGGAAGCTATATATTTCTATATCACTATATATTTCTAAAAAAATGTCCTGAATGGTGGCTGCTTTAGCCTTGGATTTACTGATTAGTTTTGTAAAATAGCAGCCATCTTCCACTTCCCAGTTTGTCAAACTTTACTCCTCAGTATTGAAAAAGAAGCAAATGTCACCAAATGCAAACTGATTATCAGTCACTCTCCTGAAAGTGAGTTCTGGGGCCACCCTTTGTTGTATATTACCTAAAACCACGTGAGTGCTTGTCTCATGTTACATCTAGTACCAGCCACCTAAAGAACTGATGCTCACACTATGGTTCTTGGATTATTATGAAATTAGTACATCGTGTTTACAAATGGGGAAAAAGGGGGAAAAACATGAGTTTATCTTTTTAAGGATTTCCATTAAAAAAACAACAAAGTATAAAGGTTCTGGCCTAGAACTAAGAAGTTAACCTTGGATGCTAAGATTTTTTTTCTTTTATTATTATTTCATTAAACAAATACACAGGAGAGAGAGAGAGACAGATAGATAGACAGACAGAGAGACAAAGAAAGAGAGCTTTCCTGGTAAACATCGTAACTAAGTTTAGTAATAAACTTTCCCATCCAATTACCTTTTTCCTTTTAATTATCTTTTAGCTTCATCTTTTCTTTCTAATAAGAAGGTGGCAGTGTGGGAAATACATTTTGTTTGTCTTGCTGACAGAAGTTTCAAAAACAGAATACTTAGATTTTGGTATAATTGTATCAGCAGCAACACAGCTTATTTCCAAAGTGGCTCTTTGAAACATTAACTTTTAATCACTTTCTCATGAACCATATCTGTATTATTTATAAAGATTCAACAACAGTCCTTCTAAGAATAAATATGACTAAACCCATAAACTCTCCTTCGAAAAACATCCCTCGGTAGACAAGCTCCAAAATAGGATTCACCTCTCTTCTGCCCACCGCTGTAACTGCACCTTTTTAGATTATAGTGGGCTGTTTAGAGGAAGCCACCAAATACACAAAACACGACATGTCATTGAACTCTACAGTGTTTTCCAGAAGTTAGATTGAACTATCTTATTCATAAAGGCAAAGAATTCCTTGACTTAATCCTCAAATGCTTTTGAAAACCCAGTGCAAGGGCAATCACGTGACATTAGGAGGATAATGGTCTCTGGGGTCAAATTTGGGTACAGAAATATAGTGAAAAGAGAAATAAAGCCTTACTCGAGCAATTAATTTCTTATATACTTTTTATTCCATGTTTTGCATCTCAGAGGTTCATTTGAAGATTCTACAACCAGATTTTACACAGCGTGTGTGGTAGAAGCTTTTGCCTATCTGCATTCCAAAGGAATCATTTACAGGGACCTCAAACCAGAAAATCTCATCCTAGATCACCGAGGTTACGCCAAACTGGTCAGTGTGGTTCACACAGGGTTTCTGCCCTACAGTTTTAACATATTGGTTTATGAAGCTGTGTTTAGGCGCTAACATTAAAATCTGATGTTTCGTTTTACATATATAGCTTTTCTTAAAGGCAGGTTTTAGTGTTACTATTTTCAGCTAACTATTCTTTCACTTTAAGCAAAAGTTATGAGAAATTAAATTGGCTAGGTATGAATTAATAATATCCTGGCCAAACATGTATCAGTGCACTCATGCTTGCTGGCATGTGTTCCTAAGTCCTAGAAGAGCTTTGTGGTTCTTTTTCTAGCTGGTTTCCTGCCATACAAAGGGAATGGGTATTTATATTATGGGAAACCATGAGTCATTTTAAAATGTTAGATTTGAGAATAATGCAAATGGAGGGAAAAAATGGGCTTTGCAGGTAATGTTATCCAGACCATGTTAATAGTATAGTAGTAATAGTAGTAGTAGTACTTTTTAAAATTTGTAGTAATTTTAAAAATGTGGTCAAGAGCACTAAATATTTACTGTAGAACAGTTCTCTTGTTTTAAGATGCACAACTTTGGTGGACTTTGAATCTGTCAGTGCCTGATTCAATTTTTTAATTTTTTAGAATATTTATTCAGCATGCGGTTTCCCAAAGAAATCAAATAAGTGGCGATTCATTATTTGTATTCTCCACCAAATTGTTTTAGAAAAAAATATATTTCCTGCATTTGAGGGTTCTTCTTCAAAACGTTTCTAGAAAAACAAAGGAAACGTTTCCGTTTTCTTTGTATTTATCAGGAGCAGAGTCATTGGTCCCATTATTTGTTACACAGCTCCTTCAGCAGCAAAGTGGCTTCTCAATTAATGCTAAATGAATCATCAGCTTCCTGAAATCTAGCAGAAATCATGTATATTTTGGAAAATATGACAAGTCAGGCCAACTGGCCTTTTACAATTTTTGAGTAAAGGAGAAATTATTATTTTTTTTTTATGTTCCAACCTTCATTGGCATAAAAGAAGGAAAAAAAAGAGTGTTTCCAGAAAGAAAGGTTTGCCTTTATTTTTTAATGATATGAATTTCATCCTCTACTTAGGTTTCAACTTTTCCCATTGTAACTGAGTTTGATCAGGGAGGCTTTGTTTGTTTGAAATATAGTTGACTCCTTTTAGAAGGCAGGACTATAACAACTAACCTTACATCTGTTTTTATTTTATTATTATCATCAGTGTACCTCAGCGAAGTAACTTCTGCTTTTAAGCTTAATCACAAGTGGCTTAAAATATCTTGTTTTCCTCTTTTTGAAAGGTTGATTTTGGCTTTGCAAAGAAAATAGGATTTGGAAAGAAAACATGGACTTTTTGTGGGACTCCAGAGTATGTAGCCCCAGAGATCATCCTGAACAAAGGCCATGACATTTCAGCCGACTATTGGTCACTGGGAATCCTAATGTATGAACTTCTGACTGGCAGGTATGGACACTGATAGAGAATTACCTGTGGAAATAGACCCGCAAACAGCTACACACTCCTGCCTTTGTCACTCTGATTAGACTGTCTTAATGTACTTGTCACCATATCTTGTCACCACACTTCAATTAGTTAGGCAGATGACCAGGAGTTTCTAAAGCAAAGTCTAAAATGAGTCAGACAAGGGCAACAAATTCAAACATCAACTTTTGGTCTCATTATTGCTAGTTCTTTATACATATGTGAATGTGGAATGATCTAGGGTCCTTCTGTGAGATTTTTGTGCCTAGTCATTTAGCCAGCAATAAAGTAAGGGAGATGATAGTCATATAAAAATATCTAGGGTCAACCAGTTATATAAATAAAAGGAACTGTTAGCAATTGCTATATCTAAATGAAATTTGAATGCTTTTCAGGTCTTTTACGTAATGATAGTATAGCCATCGACAAATAAAAAAGATACTGTGGATACTACTATGTACAAAACAAACTAAACTTTTCAAGGAAAAGCAAAACAAATATACTACCAAGCCATGCACTCAGGACAATGAGTAATAGGGTCATTATGACCTATAGAGTTCAGAAGAAGGCTAGGTTTATCCAGGGTGGCTTTTGAAGCAGGTCCCTACAGGAAGAATATAGAAAGCAAGCAAGGGGAAAGGCATTGCCAGCAGAGAGATACAGCTTAAATAGAGGGGCAGTAGTGAGCAAAGACATGAAGAAGGTCCATGTTAAAAAAGGATGGGAAATCAATTAGCCACCTTTCAAGGATCATGATTGCTACACTTGAGTGTTTGGACTCCATCCACAGAGAGAATCAGTGAGTATTTTCTGGCACAGGGATGACATGTGTTGTGGCATTTGAGGAAAAATACCTGGCAGAAATGTGTAGGAAAAATTGGAAGATGGGTGGGGTGGCTAGTGTGAACATCATTTCAATAACTTAGATCTAGGAAGCTGAGAGACTAGAATAGGGTAAAGGCAGTGGAATTAAAGGGATAAACATGAAGTAGCAAGTAAAAATGAAAGGAAGACTTGGGACCTTTAGCCTCAGTATTCTTTGTGAGGATTAGTGAATATATGAAGCACCCCATAAATGCTAACAGCTATTACTATCATTGCCAGGGATAGTTATACTGTGTTTTTACTTTTATTTGTGAATTTTTTACATTATTACTCTGGAAGTTTCTATGTTGACTTTAAATAAATTATCTGTGACCTAACCCAATTCTGTTCAATATTTACCTTCTGCAAAAAGATAAACAGTTTTAAATATATGACAAATTAAGTAAGTAGACATGAAAGATAGGAAAGATTTGGACAATAGAAAAGGTTGAATTTAACATACATGCATATATATGGATAGGTGGATGGACAGATAGATAGCCTTTCTGGTATTTTTTGAATTGTTATAAAAACATATAATGAATGGAAGAAAACTCAATATTACCTAAGAATTAAAATACTGACTATCAATAACTAGACTAAAATGTTGATGATAATTTCTGTTTTTCCTTATGCATTGAAATTTTTTTAGAATTATTTATTCTTGAATAATAGGAAAAATATTAAAACCTTATTCCTCAAAAGTTGGTATGTACTGAACTATAAAGAAATTCTATTTTTTTCATTAACCCATTATTACAAGCCACACTCTTATAGAAGAATCCTGAATTGTTTCAAATCGAAATTTCACAGACCACAATATTTGACTGCCATATAGTAAAACTAGAAATTAATACAAAGATTTAAAAGAAAAAGCTAAACACTTGAAAATTAAAAAAGCACTTTTATAAATAATCATGGGGTCATAGAAATCATGAAATAGCAAAACAGTAATAAAAATAAAGCAGTATAAATCATAATCTGTGTGGTATGGCCAAAGCTGAACCTAATTTATTACCATAAATTCTTATATCATAAAAAACTTACTGTTTAAAAATAAATGAGCTTAGGAGGTTCTGGTTCAAGATGGCAATGTAAGAGGATCCTGAAATCGTCTCTTCACAGAATGTACCAAATCAACAGCCACAGTGAAAACAAAACAAAACAAAATAAAAACTAAAAACTGGCTGAGCAATCTCCACCCTTTGGTGAACAAAAGAAGATCTGCAATAAGGAGTGTAGGAGAGGCTGGAACACAATCTTGCCATCAATCCCACCCCTGCCTGGTGCAATGACCCACAATGCAGAACATCTCCCCAAGGAGTGTAGAGTTTGAACCCCACATTGAGCACCCCTGACGCTTAGGATCTGCACCTAAGAGATGAACCCCCTCCCCCCCAACAAAAACCATCTAGCTTTGAAAACCATCAGGGCTCATGTCCATGAAACCAACAGAGGCCACATGATGAGAAATGGTTCTATAAAGGGCTTGTGTACTGGGGCTCACTCACCCCAGGGCCCAACACAAAAGTGGCCCATCAGGGGGCACCCAGACTTTGTGTGGGAGAAGCTCATTTGCTTGTCTTGGAATGTTGACCTGAGGGGCAAGCACCTGATTTGACACATGTTTGGAAGCCTGCCGGGTTGCTCTCTAGGGACAGAGACTGGCAGGAACCATCTTGGCATTCTCCTTCCACCTTGCTAACAGCTGGCAAATGCCAGGTGGTTTTTTTTTTAAATTCTAGGCTTTTTTTTTCTTTCTTTTTCCTTTCCTGGCAGGCACCATCTTTGTGCTCTTTTTCTACTGCACTCCAGAGTGCCAGTATCCCCCAGAGGGGAGTTTTTACAGTAAAGTAGCAGGTACAAAATTAATATACAGAAATCACTCACATTTTTATATACTAATAACAGACAATCAGAAGGAGAAATTAATAAAATAATCCCATTTAAAATTGCATTTAAAAGAATAAAATACCTAGGAATAAATTTAACTAAGGAGATGAAAGACCTGTACTAGGAAAGCTATAAGACATTAAAAAAAGAAACTGAGGGAAATACAAATAAATGAAAGGATATACCATGCCCATGGATTGGAAGGATTAGTATCATGAAAATACCATATTATCAAAAGCAACCTAGAGATTTAATGCAATCTCTATCAAAATACAAATGACATTCTTCTCAGAACTAGATCAAATAATCCTAAAATTTATATGGAATCGCAAAACCCCAAATAACCAAAGTAAGCTTGAGAAAGAACAGAGTTGGAAATATGACACTCCCTGACTTCAAACTGTACTACAAAGCTATAATAATCAAAACAGTATGATACTGGCATGAAAACAGACACAAAGATCAATGCAACAGAATAAAGAAAGCCCAGAAATAAACCCTTGCTTATAGGGTCAACTAATTTATGACAAAGGAGACAAGAATATACAATGGAGAAATGACAGTCTCTTCAACAAGGGATGTTGGGAAAACTGTACAGATACATGTAAAAAAATGAAACCGGACCAGTCTGTTATGCCATATACAAAAATAAACTCAAAATGGATTAAAGACTTAAGTTTAAGGCCTGAAACCATAAAATTTGTAGAAGAAAATAGATAGTAAACTATGTGATATCAGTCTGGGTAATATCTTTTTGGATACGTCACCTCAATCAAGGGAAACAAAAGTAAATAAACAAATGGCACTTCATCAAACTATACAGTTTCAGCACAGTGAAGGAAACCATCAACAAAACACAAAGACAGCATACTGAATGTGAGAACATGTTTGCATATAATATATCTGGTAAGGGGTTGATACCTAAATATATAAGAACTCATACAAAAAAAAGACATTTCCCCAAAGAAGACATGTAGATGGCCAACAGACATATGAAAATATGCTCAACATCACTAATCAGGGAAATGCAAATCAAAACCACAATGAGATAATTTTTCAATTACAGTTGACATACAATATTATATTAGTTTCAGATATACAACATAGCAATTTGACATTTATGTAACTTATGAAGTGATAGCCTCAATAAATCTAGTACTCTTCTGACACCACTAATAACTTTTGATTGGAATAAAATTTGGAAGTATAGACAGACCTTAAAAAAGCAAGGAATGTTCTGCAGAGATCCAATTAAGCACTACAGAATGGTAGAGGACCTGAGGTGAAGTGGATCTCATACAGACACACCAATTTTCTTTTAAGGCCTATCATGTTGGCCAGTAAAGTGAACGGAAACAAAGGGATAGTGGTAGTGACTACAAGATTTCAAAGCACACAGGCAGGGCTTTCCTATGAGCCAGGTGACCCCATGAACACCAAGAATTGAGGGCAAATAAAATAAATGATCTGGTGAGAGGTTTTCTAAGGCAACAATCCTAGTGAAGAATGCTAAATTTTATACTTGCTCCCTTCCTTCTACCTTATTCTATTCTTCAGGATAGTTAGCCCCATTTAAGGATGAGTCCAGATGAGACCAGAAAGGCCCCATTAGGTTCCACTCCCTACCCCTCTCACCACTACAGCTCCCTTCTACACCCACCAATTCCAATCTGACTTAGTGGTTTTGTTCAAGCAACATCACACCCTCCCCCCCACCTGACTCAAGAAAAGATGCACTCATCTCTAGTTTCAGGCTTAGATTCAATTAATCTATTCCAGTCGTAGAATTCTCCTGGTGATAGACATTGATTGGATTGGACACACAATCTAAACTGGTTAAAACAGACATAAAGAAAAAATTTTAATATAAATTCATTGAGAATTCTCAGTAGGCACTCAATAAATTGTAGGCACTCAATAAATAATTACTGAATGCATATAAGTCCCTATTTCTACTGGTAGTCACCTTACTACTATAAGGGTAAATAGCCTTAAGATGAAGCCAATGCTGAGATATGGTAAAACAAAAACCTGCAAAGAACTTGGGTCTTTGAGCCTCTGATCCTGCCAGGTTTGGATTTTGCCCCACTTCTGGACTTCCATTTATGTGAGATAAATATCCATATTATTTTAATCAATTTGAGCTGGTATTTTCTGGTAAGTTCAGCTGAAAGATACATAAGCAAAAGGCAGCTAAATAACACACAATAGAAATGATTCAAAGAAACATAGAAGAAGTTCAGACAAATTGTTATCTACAATTTCTTTGAGGCAATTGAAAGTATGATCTCTCTGAAGAAGTAACCTCAAAGATACCAGCAACTCTTCACAGATACAAAAGAAGTAAACTATCAGAGCTTAGGAACACTATGGAGCTGAACGTCATATTATAAACAACAGAAAATAGAATAATAGCAATTAAAAATCCCAGCCAGGGAGACAGTAGATAGACTTGGGAAAGATAATGAAAAAGAAAAAGGATATAGAAATTATAACGGAAAGAGGATATAGGAGTTAAAGGAAATAGAATAAACAAACAAACAAACAATTATGTATATGAAGAGAATATACAAATGGAATAGAAAAACATATTCAATTACATAAAAGAAAATTCATGACATAAAGACTTGAGTCAGTGTATCCTTCTGATCAGCATGTGGAAATGGATTTGGGATAATAACATTGCCATGTGCCCTAGTGCAGTTTTCTAATTTCAATGATAAGAAATAATCATACAGGTATCTAAGCCACAAAAGCATGTCACAGATGAGGTTGGGAGTGAAGATTAGAGTTTGAGTTGGCTTCTACCTTCTCTTTTTTTTTTTTTCTAGCTGAGCCATCCTGCCACCTGATGGCAGCTCAGCAGCAACTCAGTTCAGGCCTGACTCGAACAGCTGTTGCTCAGAGCTCAGACTCTTGAGCGAGCTCTTAACCAACTGAGCCACTCGGCCAGCCCCTACCTTCTCAATAGCACCTTTAATGCTATAAGATAGTGTATCAAGAACTATGTGGTTCTGAGGGAAACTAAGAGTATAGCCCAAGCAATTTATACCAAGTTAAGTTATTCTTAAAGTATAAAGGCAACATATAAAGTGTGTACCCCAGGCCTTTCTTAAAAACACTACTACTGTATGATCAAATCAACTAAGAGATGAATCAAAATAAAACACTAAGGAATAAAGACACTGGTAAAAGGATTGGTGATGAGCTTTGAATCTGATTAATTAGAACTTAGATTAAATAATTTAATTTTAGTTTTTGAACAAAATGAAAATGTTATAATCTTTGGAAATCTTAAAATATTGAAATCAACAAAAATTAAGGTGAGAGAGAGAAGATAGGAATAATCATAGGAATGCCTATTTTTCATCATTTATAATTAGGAATCTTAAGTAATTTTTTTAGTTGAATTGTGGCATTACAAAAAAACCCAAATTCAAAATTAAATATTTTCTTAATTCTTTAAGAACTAATATTGTTGAGGAAGAAGCATGTATTTGAAATTTAGCATTTCCTTCATTTTTACTCCTCAGAGTAACTTAAAGTAAAATTAATTTGAATACTTTTTTATCTTAAAAAGCATATATAGTCTAATCCTATGTCTCTCCATCTACATAGAGAAATGTGTAAAATTATATTTAACAATGTTAGTTACTAATATTTTTGGATGTTGGATGATTGTTACTTTCTAAGTAATTTTGTTTTTATATTGCATGAATATCTTAGACTGAATATGCATTGCTTATTAAAAACACAAAAGTCACCTTGACTAAATGATTTTTGTTGTATAAAATAAGCAAATACAACAGCAAAAATATAAATTAGAAACCATTAAATTGACAACAAAAATCTAAGATGTGGTTCTTCCTCATTTTTAAAGTAAAAAGTTTAAACTGTCAAGTTAAAAGAGTAAAGAGACTATTCAATCATAACATCACAAAAGAGGAAATTCTTAAATTCTAAGAATATTAAATAGAGTTGCATGTTTATACATTTTTAAAATTAATTTAAAATTTACAGATAATTACTAACTAATGGCATATTAAAGTAAATAAAAAGTACTTCTCACAGAAAATTAGGACAAAAATTCAAGGTAGATAACATCACAGTTCTCACCTCAAGCAAATCTACTATTCTCTATGTTAAGCAAATCATTGTTTTTAGCTGGCTTAATAGAATAATTTGCAAATAATAAATAATTTGAACTGCTATTAAACATGGTTGACAAAAATAATTATAATCCATAATTTCTCCTCAAAGACATATGAGCCTCATACTAGGAGAATAATTGATTTCCAAATAAATCATTTTTCAAGGTATATCATATTTTCCCCTCTGAACGGTAAGAAATTTGATGAATGAAATTGACTTTAGTTAATCCTGTAATCCCTGGAAGGGAAGACCGATATAAAACAATCACATAAACAAAGAAGAAATTACAAAGCATAGTAAGTGCATAAAGGTGCTGTAAGCGAAAAGGAGAAATGAAAAAAGAAAAAAAGAGCGTACGGCAGAGGACTCTAACTTAACGTTTAAATTTGATAATTAGATTATTATATTATGTTGGTTGATTTAAGTTATGTGATTGGTTATATTAGGTGGAGTAGAGTAGTCCCCTTTGAAGAAGCAACAAAACACTTAAGCGAAGACCTGATAAGTAAGGCATTGCCCAGATAAACTTGGGAAGAACCTTCTGGGCAAAATAAACAACAGCTCCCAGAAGTAGGAAAATTGCTTGGCATTTCAGAGGAACAGAAAGAGGCAGGTGGTGATCCCATGACATGGAGTCCTTTCACTGATGTTCTTGTAGCCCATTCTAATAGTTTTGGACTTCATCCCAAGTGTAATCAGTGAGGTCATAAGTATGAGAAAGGACCAAAAAGTGGAAGAGGCATCTTGAATGACCAAGGACAGCAAGGGGGTTAGGCATCTGCCAAAAAAAGAAATGAGGGGCACAGCAGACAAACTTAACCCATTTATGTTTTGCTAAGTGATTTACTTGGAAAGGTTTCCATACTGTTTTGCTATTAATCAAGTTTTATTCCATTATTACTTCTAATATAAGCCCCAAGTAAATATCGATGTCATTTGTGGAGTACTTTAATTTTTCTTATTTAGAAAATAAAAGTAATATGTCTTTTCATGTCTCTCATTCTTGCAGCCCACCTTTCTCAGGCCCAGATCCTATGAAAACCTATAACATCATATTGAGGGGGATTGACATGATAGAATTTCCAAAGAAGATTGCCAAAAATGCTGCTAATTTAATTAAAAAACTATGCAGGTAAGCGTTTCAACCACATTTTTTGTGGAAGGTTTATAATGTGAAAATAAATTAGATTCCTTATCAATTATTACTTTATTTTTAGGGATAATCCATCAGAAAGATTAGGGAATTTGAAAAACGGAGTGAAAGACATTCAAAAGCACAAGTAAGTATTCTTTTCTTATAATTTTAGGTTTGAAAGTTCAGAACACCTGACAAGCATTTGTTTGGGCTATTGTTTTTTAAGTTAGTGGTTGTACAACTGATACAATTAGCCCATAGGAACATCCAACAAGAGATGCAAACTATTGGGTTGTTGGAAAAGTCATGATGTATTGTTTCTGTTTTTCGATGCAATAATGCGTCATGACTTTTCCAACTGTGCAACAGTTACCCTTTTCAGTAAAGGTTTTCCTGTTTGTGTGCCTGGGACTTTATTTAGATACATCTGACTCTGTGCCATACCAAACAACACATTCCTCGAATGCAGTTTCTCCCAACTCACAATAACTAGCATTTTTTTTTTCCTGGCACAAAGATGAAATGTGTATTTTAATTCTGGGACTCTATTCCCTACCAGAATATTAAAAACAAAAGCCCTCCACCATATCATGCCTCATTTCCTAGACTAGAACCAACATATATTTTCCCATTCATTTCCTAATTAGACGATTTGACAAAGGAAAAAAAAAAAAGGTACAGAGTACAGTCTCTTTTTTAAACAATAGCGGCATTTTAAATATCAGACCTTACCCGTCCATATTAACTGGATGTTCTAAGGCTAAACTAAGATGAAATTGATTTTTCTGTATTAGTCTGTTTCTGTAATATTCATAGGAAGTTCACATCCCTACCACAGGAACTTATTTAGCAAAATACCTATGAATATCTAAAAGGCCTGCTAAAAATGTAATGTAAGCATTTGCTAGTGGGGAACTCTTTCAAAGACAAAAACAGAACAAAAATCAACCAAACAACAATAGCAACAACAACAAAAAAAAAACTTCATGTTATTCGGTCCTCATTTTCACAGAAAAGCTGTACACAAAATACCACCCTTGTATTAAAATAGAAACAAAATGGTGGGGGATGGTGGTGGAACGGGATGTGTAGAGACCAATTCAGTGATGTGAAAGGGACTGAGGCTACCTAATGAACCAGTGGCAAAGATGGAATGATAATTTTCTGTCCTGACTTTTCATGCTCCAATTATATCTATCTCCTTAAAATAAAATATCCTGTAAGGCACAGGGCCAAGCATATTATGGCCTTTATTAAGTTATAATGACAGCGTAGGAACAAGGTCATACAGGTATTATGACTGAAATTACTAGAATAAAAAGAAGGTGCTTTCTAATTGGTATTTAAAACTTTGACAATTAGATTTTTTTTAAGTATGCATTCCACACAAAAAAAGCCAATAGAAGAAAATCAGCAATAGAAAACCTTTTTGTCACATTGGAGATGTTTGCCTCCCTGCTTTCCAGCAGTCATGGCCATTATATATGTTGCAATGAGAAGGTTTTAGTTGAAATAAAATGCCTCTAACTCTCTACTTCTTTTTTCCTTTTTTTAGATGGTTTGAGGGCTTTAACTGGGAAGGCTTAAGAAAAGGCACCTTGACACCTCCTATAATACCAAGTGTAAGTAGACTTTCCAGCTTGTAATTGTGTGACACATGTAAAGGCATTTATGTCAGTCATCAAACACCTGTTATTTTTAAAGTTTTATTTTATGATCAGATTAAATAAACTATAGAAAAAAAAGGTATCACATTAAAATAATGAAATCTAAAATCCATGCTTAAAAACAGATCAGTTAGGGAATGGTTATTATATATGTATTTTACTGTTACCTTTTTAAACTATTCATTCTAATTTAAGTTTCTCTTATTTATGGATAAAAGTTCACTTTTAAAGTGTTAAATATATATATATGTATGTATATATATATATATATACATACATATATATATATTTAAAGTGTTAAATATATACTGATATAAACAGAAGAATACAATGAATCTCCAACAACCACATTCCTTTTTCTTTTTTCTATACTATATAGACTATAAATCTTTGCCCCAAAAAAGAATACATTACAAACTTTAATGAATTAATTATATTCATGAATTATTACCAGAAATACATATATTTTAATTTTCTGTGCCTATGAATATTCTCTACATAAGATAAAGTAAGTTCTTAACAATTTAGTGTGTACATGATTATGCTTGGGTGAGTTCGGACAAGATGCTCTTACCTTCTGTTTATGATACCAGGTTACTCTCTACCTTGCTCTGTCCCCAAGAGCCTAACCCATCAGGGCCACGTCAAAGTATTCCTTTGCCCTCTGGTTTCTGGTTGGGTTTGGTCAACAGTCTAGCAACCATCTTCAACAGATTTCAATTCCTGGCCTATATTGTTTCATTTATGCCCCCACATAGTTCCTCCTCACTTACCCCCATATTACTTATTTTTTCCTGACTTCAAACTGTACTACAAAGTTACAATAAGCAAAACAGTATGGTATCAGCAGAAAAATAGACACACAGACCAATGGAACAGAATTGAGAGCCCAGAAATAAACCCAAATAAACACAAATATGGGCATCTAATTTTTGACAAAGGAGCCCAAAACATACAATGGGGAAAGGAAAGCCTCTTCAATAAATGATGCTGGGAAAATTGGAAAACCACATGCAAATGAAACTAGAGTGCAATCCGACATGATACACAAAAATTAACTCAGAATGGATTAAAGACATAAATGTAAGATCTGAAACAATAAAATACATAGAAAAAACATAGGCACTAAACTTATGGACCTTGGTCTCAGAAGGGTTTTTGTGAACTTGACCCCAAAAGCAAAGAAAATAAAAATAACAATAAATGAATGGGACTACATCAAACTAAAAAGCTCTTTCAGAGCAAAAGAAACCATCAACAACAGCAAAAAGAAAAAAAAAGGCAACCAATCAAATCCAATATCCTAAATGTATAAAAAACTCATACGACTCAACAAACAAACTAAAAAAACAATCCAATTAAAAAATTTAAAAAGGCAGAGGAGTCAAATAAACACTTTTCCAAGGAAGACATACACAGATGGCCAACGGATATATGAAAAGGTGCTCAACATCACTAGCTATAAAGGAAATTCAAATCAAAACCACAATAAGATACCACTTCACACCTGTTAGAATGGCTAGTGCCAATATGACAAGAAATAAGTGTTGTAGAGGATGTGGAGAAAAGGGGGGCACTTGTACAGTGCTGGTGGGGATGCAAATTGGTGCAGCCTCTATGAAAATCAGTACGGAGGATTCTCAAAAAATAAAGAATAAAGCTGCCGTATGCCCCAGCCATCCCTCTTCCGGGTATCTAGCCCCAAAATTTGAAAGCACTTATTCATAAAGACGTATGCACCCCTATGTTCACTGCAGCATTATTCACAAGAGTCAAGATATGAAAACAACCCAAGTGTGTTCAATGGATGATTGGATAAAGAAGATGTGGTACATAGATACAGTGGAATACTACTCAGCCATAAATGCGATAAAATACTGCCCCCATATGACTTTAAAGCACTCCCCAGCACAACTGTGTTATCTTTTTATCAGGCTCTAAAAAGAAAATAATTTTTTTATTAACTCTCTTAACACATCAGTTTTTTTTTTTAAATAGCCAGTCCACTAAGGGGACTAAGTGTTTACATTATATTAACTTGAAATTGGTTTCAATTGACTGCATTTATATTTTTATTCACTACTGCATCTAACAAAATACACTACATCTTAACTAAGGGGGACAGGGCTGCTTTGTGGTACAGATCGCTTCATTTATATACTTTTTTTCTGGACTAACTCAATGTCCTTCATACAGACACATTTTCTCTGCTTCTAAGATTTATTTCTGTGCTAATGTTTATGTTTATCCACAAAACAAAAATGCCATTATCATGTCTCAACTGACAAGTGCTAATTGTATTCATAAAGCTTTATTTTTAGAAGAAGAATAGAATGAGAAACTCAGAGGAGTAAATAGTAAGCCTAAATTATCCTAACCTAAATTTATCAAGGGTCTCTTTTAATACAATAGTAGTATTAAATTGGATATAATATTGTTTTTAAATATTATAGAATATGAGGGACATTAAAGTGTGTTGTTTCACTGCTTTTATTTATGCTCTACAGACTGGATTTTGACCAGTAAATTTGCAAGAGTTTTGCTTGAGTTTAAACATGGCTCTTCATTATGCTTAGACTAAATATACAAAATTCTTACAATAGCCTACAAGGCTGTGCATAACCTGACTCCTGCCTATTTCTCCTGTTTCTTATTCCCCTGCTCTCCTCTCTTATGCAGCAGCCTTGTTGGCCTCTTTTGGTTACTTCTCAGCATGGACCTCTCCCTCCCTCCCTCCCTCCCTCTCTCCCTCTCTCTCTCTCTCTCTCTCCCCCTCCTCAAGACCTTTGCATGTGCTATGCCCTTGTTACTGAACTCACTGAATCTTAGTTTAAAATAATACTTTTTCAGAGAGGCTTTCCATGATCACACTTATACTCTCATGGCACCTTGTGTGGTTTTTTTTTACATTGCACTAACCAAACTTTAAAGCAAGTAATCATAAAAATCTATAGCTAATTATGACCACACAATTTATTCCATACTAGAGTATAAACTCCATGAGGGCAAGAACCATGTCTATTTTGAGTCACCGCTGTGACCCACCACATACAACAAAGCACAGAACGTGCTACCTAGTAGACACTCAAAAAATAGTCATTGATTAGGGAATGAATAAAGCATGCTATGTTAAAATCTAGAGTGGAATTTTACTAAAAAAAAAAAAATCAGACATCTTTTTGCTGTCCAATCTCTCATCTCTAGGTTGCATCACCCACAGATACAAGCAATTTTGACAGTTTCCCTGAGGACAATGACGAACCACCACCTGATGACAACTCAGGATGGGACATAGACTTCTAATGTATTTCTCTTACCTGCTTCTGCCTTGCTGAAGACAGCTTTTTCTGAGACACAGCTGCCAGCAAACCTGAGGGAAAGAGAGAAGTTTAGTGCTCGGGGTCACCATGATGCCTTTGATCGATGCTGCTCCAGTAACTACAGTGGCATTAGGACTCATCGCTTAGAAGACAATAGCGCTCTTTACCCGTTTTCTGTTTGAACCTAAAAATTGCAGTCGACATGGTGGTCCTGAAGTAAAGCCTTTCACCAGTAAAGAGATGTTTTCTATTGTTGCAGTGATCTCACTTTGCTCTGATTATAGTTTGAAAGACTGTATCTCTTCAATCTAGTAAAAGCGTCTGTACTTTACTAGAATTCTCAAGAAGGTCAAAAAAATAATATATTGGATACACTAGATTTCAATGGTACAAAAACTGAGCTCTTCCCTTTCTTCAAGTGAGGGTCACAGGATCTATGACCGCGGGCCGGTGTATATACCATACAAAAGAGGACCACACATCCGTTGGTCACAGTTCATGTCAAACCAGTGCTAGAAGTTTCATGAGTTCATTTCCCAGCAGCGCTGATGATGAGACTGAATGTTACCTTTCCTTTCTGACAGATTTAAAAATTGATATGCTAAAAGCACAACTGCTATGGATTCTGCTGAGAACTCTCATAGCAGGTATATATGCGTTTCACAGAGGATTGGGAAAAAAAAACATGCATGGTATTTGTTTATTTTATGATAAATTGGCATGACAGAGTGGAAAAAAGCAATTCACAACCATTTCATATTTTTTTAAATAGTGTGCTTAAAGATGGTCCTGGAAATAAGTGACTAGCAGCCAATTGGTTTTTATTTATACCGAACACACCCTCAAACTGAGGTTTAAAATATTCCTTTTCTAAAAATGAACCATTGGGGTCAGGGTGGGGTGGGGTGGAGAGGGATTAAGACTCATCCAAAAACATAAAAAAATAAAAATAAAATACTATATAGGTGCTATGTATATCTTTCATCTGTAAATGTCAATGTCTGAACAGACAACACAAATTCTAATCATTACATGTGTAGCCAGAGACTCGGGCATTTTCACTAAATTTCTCAAACCAAACTCCTGTCAGATTTCACTTATACAATATAGTCTAGAGTTGCGGGAGAAAGGTGATTAAAAAGCTGTTTGAACTAGCTTCTTGTCTTAGGCCTGAACCAATAATAATAATAATCCTAATCATAATCATAATGAGAAAGAAAGCACAAAATCATTGAGATTCACCAGTTTACCGGATGAGAAACCTTACTTATGTGCGGTCGGGGAATAAGACAAGAACTCGGCCAGGTACTGGTTACCTTTTCATGAATTTGCTGATATGAATCCATGTGCATGTGAAAGTGGGAAGGAAGCAGAGAGGAAAACAGGAATCTGATTTCTTAAAAATAAATTTGAGCTACATAGAGCAAAACATTACAATCCTGAAATATCATACCACCTAGAAAACAGTAGATTTGAAAATATCAAACATATTTGCTTTTCACACGGGGAAAAGAATCACCAACTTTCATTGAGCCCTTTGTTGGCAGGCTAGTTGACTATTATTAGCTGTTATAGGTAGCAGAACCATTTGAAAGCTTTTCTTGGACAAATAGCATTATACCTACTTAGACAAATGCATAACCTTATGAGCTGTCATCCTGATTTGGAACTGTGTGTGAGTTTGGTACATGAAATAGAGGTTTACATTTTTTCCAGTAGAGAATTTTTTTTAAAAGTCAAACAAATGTAGACATCTCTGCAAAAAATATATATATATATATCCACCTAGATCATTATACTGTATCCAAGAAGGCATATATTATTATTTCTGTTTGAATTTTTCATACTAAGACTACTTTAGAATATATCTTATCAAAATATAATAATCTAAGAAGCATTTGGAAAACAAAAGTAATAGGGCATATTATATATAGTTAGAATAAAATTAAATTAAAACTTTGATTCTAAGATATTATTGTTATTCTTGTGTTATTGGAGTTTTCCCTTCCTTATAGTTTTGAGAAAGCAATCTATTCCCCAAGATATCTGTTTCCTTCCTCATATTTTAGAATATAAAATTACACATCTCACCCTCAAATCCAGTTATGAATACTATTTCAGAAGTTTTATATTGCTTTTAATTGGGCTTTTAGAAATATATAATTTCAACATTATAGTCAATATCCAGTGATTTTTTTGTTAAAAGAGCGGTTTAGGCATACTAAAGGTTTGCTAGAATATTAAATTTACCTAGTCATTAATTAAAAGAATCTGCTTCTACAACTTTTCAGATATCCCAATAACCCCAGAGATTAGCACTTACTATGGATTTTGGAACTGTGGTTCAAGTCTAAGACAACCAATAGGTACAAGTTGTATGGAGAAGGAAGAAATAGCACTCAGCACAATGAACCTGTAGGTCCTTTCTCCCACTTGTTAGTTCATCTTTGTTAATTTCACCTGTGGCTTTGCACTGGGACGTGTAAATCAATCACCAGAAAATAAAGGTGAACTATATCTCTCAAGAATTATTAACATAAAACATTCATTTAATTTTCAACATTGAATTTTAAGGATTTAAACCTTGTCTCAATGAAGACACTAGGGCTAAAATTCATGATCAGCTTCATAAAGTGCGTCTCACTTTACTTCTGAGTTTGTCATGCCCCCTCTATTTTCTTACACTAATGAACATCTAGATAAGTTAGAAGAGTGCCAACCTGTTCAAATTGTTACCTGACTTTCTTGTTAATACTTCAAGTACAGGGAATAATGGCTTTCTGTGTGTCTTAACTCACAGGAAAACTGAAAACTGGTAAGGAAAGGAACGTCATAATATATGAGGTAGATTGAATACATTAAAAAAATGATTTATGGAAAATTGCGATAAATGAGTTTTATGTTTGTACCTTCTTTGTTATTAATATATGAATCAGATCCATGTGGCATTGTAAACATTTATTTTGATGATATTCTTTATGAGTTGTAATTTTTTCTTAAAATTATGGGATATGCATGTGAACTACACATGTATAACATATAAATTCAACTGTTGAGTTTTTCTTGTTTTATTTCTAAGCAACTGAACTGATCGTAAACTTAAATTGAAAGAAGTCAGCTACCATATTGAAAATAAGGGTATTAGAACTGATTTCATACATTAGAGGTGATCTGTGCATTATCCATAACAATGTTTTCTTTCACAATAGGACCACAGACAAATATTTATGTAAATAGATATTTTTGTGTGATATTTTGTGGTACATATAACTTTTTTTAGTGTTTCACAGCATTATTATTTCATTTTATTTGTATTGAATAATGTTTTTAGGTCCAAGTAGACTTGAATTAATGTCATAATTGTCAGTATTATTGAAAATTATGTCCATACTGTTATTCATCTGTCCCATAGTTTAGAACATGACCTGGCTATCTGGCATTGTTGCAAGTGCCTTAAATTCATGGCATCCTATTTAAAAAAAAAAAAACAAATTTGGTGTTATGCTGCATGACAAAGACAAACACACCTCAAAATGTTGTCCTTTCTTAGCTTGCTGCGTTTTACAGTTCTTTCTGCTAACAATTTATAAGCCTTTATTATATAATATTGATGAATTACAGAAATGATGAAGTTGTTCTCTTATTTCTGTTAAATGTACCAGAGCTGTGTATCAGTTAATGAGACACAGCGTCATTTCTGTGAAATGTATAAATGTATGTGCAGGTCAAATTAATATATGACATACTATCAGTCTGTACACAGGTATACCTGTTTTGCTAAGCTGTGCAGATTCAGTTAAAGTTAGTACAGTCAAGTTATATCTCATTTTATAGACTCCATTAAAAGTGGTCCAACGCAAAAGAAAAATTGGAAAATAACTGCTAACCATACCTTGTTGTGAAACCAATGATGAAAATGTACTTTGGTGCACCACTCAACAAAACAGGATGCTTTCTCTGAGTTATTGTATATGCAAAGAATTTCTGAGGCAAGATTTCAACAGACCTAGAAAGCTAAATACTGACAATATGTTGTTAGGCCTCCTCTTTATCTGCCCCTGCATCAACAGACAGAGCTCTGGGACTCTGACAATGACTCAGAGATTTGGGCTTTCCAAGTGAAGGGACATTTCTTTAAGCATCACCTATCAAATTTATTTCAATGTATGATGTTTTTACAACTGGTCAGTTCTTTTGTACTCTTGCAGCTATGGCTATTTGATTGTCCTCTTACAATTTGTCCTACATGGAAGAGTTCTTTGTTAGTCAGAATGCAACAACCGTCATCAAATGGTCATTGACTACTTGCACTCTTTTGATGTAGATTAAAAACTTTTTCATAAACTTAACTTGCTTTGATTTGCTCTGTATTTTTCTCGCAGCTGTAATTGCCGAGTGCCTGTTGTATACTTTATAGAGTTGAAATAAAAATAATTACTTTTGAACCTAGTTTATGTTTAATTCCAGACAAGATTCCAAGAATAGAATTGATACATCATATTATAATTGAAATACTATATAGTGCTACTCTAGAATGTCACTATAACAAACCAGAAAATACTTATAATCAAATGTCCTTCATCAAATAATATACTAGGATCTAATATAAAACTAACTCAACAAATTGGTTTAAATGCTTTAACAGAGACAACATTAGGCCATCCTGTGTGAATAGCAAAGCAAATGTAGAAACCCACACAAACCCAATCACAAGCAATTTTCTGTGCACTACATCACCCCACCCCACCACAACCACACACTCCTTTTTTTGGGACTAACCCTAGTTAAACTCTGAATGAGGCCAACCATCAAAGGGACAATTCTTATGTAATTCTATATGGCTGGTAGAAATGAATTATTTAAATGAAAAAGCAGCTTCATGAATTTTGTCTAAGGTTTATCCATCTGATCCCTCTATTAAGCATCATATGCATAAAGAATATAGATTTAGAGAACAATATTACTGCAACAAACTCAACTCTCCAAAGCCCTGGTGAACATATTCTTCCTGTGTCCCTGTGTTCCTCACTTCAGTGAATGGTATACAAATTAAAATTGGTTGCTGTATAGAGATTCCCTGAATCTGATAGCCTTTGTCTTGCTGACATCACATTGCCAGTGATGGTGAGTTGAAACCCCTTTTTGATGAAAACTAGAAATACAATCAAGTTAACTGTCTCAGACAGAGCCAATAAAACAACTTTAAAAAATACTATGTCACTGTTGCACATCCAATAATTTCCTTTCCCCTGAAAACAGAACTGAACAGTGAGTTTTTAGTATCTATTTTTTTTCTTATAGGTTTAAATTTATTGACTTAAAGTTATTCATAGTATAAGGCTATTTTTTTAAATCCATGCTATATCTGTATTGTCCCCCTTTTTATTTCTAACATTATTTATGTTTTATCCCCCTTTTCTTTCCAGCTTGTCTATTTTATTAGTCTTTCCAAGAAAACCATAAGTAGATAGTACCCTCAAACTGGATAATCTGAGTAGAATTTTAATTCTATGGGATATTTATAAAGGTGTAGAAAGAATAAGGAATATTACAGTACCTTGGCACTGGTAATAGTTGTTATTACAAATTTAGGGGAAGGGCCAAAGGATAGGGTGGTTACTAGAGCCTGGAGACAAAGAAGGCTGCCTGGGAGATATAGATAACTTCAACATCTGTGTCATGTAAGCTCCAGTGTGGATATAATTTAGCCCTTAGTATCCATTCTTTAAGTTCTGTGATTTTCATACCCTTGATCTAAGAATGGTCTTCTTTGATCCTGGAAGATTATCTTTGTATTAATCACACAGTTTTTGGAGGGACATACAGATCCATACTCAATCATTAGGGGAGTGACTTTGGAAGGGAGGGGTCAGGGGAAACTGGCAATTGTAAGGATGTTGCATCCACGCCACTGTCACATCTTGTGCATGCTAATTCTAACTGAAGTAAATCACTGCACAATTATTCAACTACGACGATAAGAATCAATTCTAAATTTGCCTGAGAGGGGTGCATTGGTAGTATCATCATCCAAGTTGACCCCATGTTATGTAGACCTACCCTCAGATTCTAAGTTCTAGCCCTAAATGTGTCATACACATAATACAGGACAACCATCAAACCAGTATTACAAGAAATCTTAGAGGGACTTATTTAAGATGAAAAAACAAACAAACAAACAAAATATATAAATAATAAAATGGCAATAACTACATATCTATCAACAATTACTTTAAATATAAATGGGTTAAATGCTCTAATGAAAACATGGGATGGCTGAATAGCCAAGATAACAAAACCCTCACATATGCTGCCTACAAGAGACTCACTTCAGATCGAAAGACTCACATAAACTGAAAGTAAAGGTATGGAAAAAGATATTTCATGAGGAAAAAAAAAAAGCTGGTATAGCAATACTTACACCAGACAAAATCAACTTTAAAACAAAGGCTATAACAAGAGACAAAGAAGGACCCAGTGATCTCACTTCTGGGTATTTATCTGAAGAAACCCAAATGCTACTTTGAGGGGACGTGTGCATCCATATGTTTACTGCAGCATTATTTACAGTGGCCAAGATGTGGAGGCAGCCTGGGTATCTGTCAATGAATAGAAAAAGAGTAGGTGGTACATATGTACAATGGAATATTGCTCAGCTGTGGAAGGAAATGGATTTTTGCCATCTGCAACAACGTGGATGGACCTGGAGGGTATTGTGCTGAGTGGTGTGTTAGAGAAAGACAGATGCAATGTGATTTTGCTTATATTTAGAATCAAAAGAATAAAAATAAATAAAACAGAAAAAACTTATACAGAGAACATTTTGAGGGCTGCCAGATGGGATGGGAGTTGGAGTGGGGTGGTGAAAAAGGGGAAGGGATTAAGTGCAAATTGGTTGTTACACAGTAGTCATGGGGATGTAGGGTACAACATAAGGAATAGTGTCAATAATGTTGTAATATATATATATATATATAGTGCCAGATGGGTACTAGATTTATTGGGGTGATAGGTGGGAGGGGGATTGGGGACAGAGTGAAAAAAGTGAAGAGATTAAGAATTACAAACTGGTAGTTACAAAATCGTCATGGGGATATAAAGTACAGCACAGAGAATATAGTCAATAATAGTAATAACCATGTATAGTGCCAGGTGGGTACTAGACTCGTCAGGGGGATCACTTCTTAAATTATATAAATGTCTAAACACTATGCTATATACCTGAAATTTTATAGAGAAAAATTTGAGAGGGGTTGTTTTGAATGAAAGACCATTGGAGGAAAGTGAAGCGTTCAGGATGGTTTGTGGATCGATGTCAACTGTAATTGAAAAACTAAAAAAATGGGGCGGGGTGGGGAAGGTGAAAGGGAATAAGAGGTTCAAATTTCCACATATATATAAAACAAATAAGTCATGGAGATGTAACATACAGCATAGGGAATGTAGTCAATGATATGGTAATAGCCTGGTACGTGTCAGATGGTTGCTGGACTTATCATGACAATCACTTCTTTAGCATATAAATGTTGAATAACTATGGTACATACCTAAAACTAATATAATATTGTATGTTAGCTATATTTTAATTAAAAAATCTTTAAAAAAGAATCAATTGGCTATAGGATATTTGCAATAATGAGTATTACATATTTTGTTTTTATTTGTAAATTGTGTGCTACATATTCTTTATGTGAGTAAAATTTACAATACATGCATAAGTATGTTCACAGTTTTTAAAGTGCTGATTGTTTGTTGTATATTTGTTTTGTTGAAGGTTTTCTTCACTGTGTCATTTGTTTATTTTTTAGTTTGATGTGGTTCCATTTGTTTATTTTTGCTTTTGTTTCTCTTGATCAAGAAGATGTATCCAAAAAGATGTTACTCAGACTACTGTCAGATAGTTTACATCCTATGTTTTCATCTAGTTTATGGTTTTAGGCCTTACAATTAACTCTTTAACCCATTTCAGTTAATTTTTATATATAGTATAAGAGAGTGGCCCAGTTTCATTTTTTGCATGTATCTGTTCAGTTTTTCCAGCACCACTTATTGAAGAGACTGTTGTTACTTTAGTGCATATTTTTACCTCCTTTGTCACAGGTTAGTTGGCCATATAAGTGAGGGTTTATTTCTGGGCTCTCTATTCTGTTCCATTGGTCTATGTGTCTGTTTCTGTACCAGTGCCATACTGTTTTGATTATTATTGCTTTGTAACATAGTTTGAAATCTGGGCATGTGATACCTCCATCTTTGTTCTTCTTTCTCAAGATTTGTCTAGTTGGGGTCTTTTGTGGTTCCAATAAAGTATAGGATTATGTGTTCTAGTTCTGAGAAGAATGACGTTGGTATTTTGATAGGAATTGAATTGAATCTGCAGATTGCTTTGGGTAGTATGGTCATTTTAACAATATCAATCCTTCCATTTCTTGGAAGCATGTTATATCCTCCCATTTGTTTGTGTCCTCGTCAATGTCTTATAGTTTTCCTAGTTAAGGTCTTTCACCTTTTTGGTTAAATTTCTTCTTAGGTATTTACTTTTTTTGATGCAGTTTTGGATGGGATTGTTTTCTTCATTTTTCCTTCAGATATTTTTGTTATTGGGAGAAGATGTTTGCAAATCTGCTAAGGAGTTGATATCCAAAAATATATAGGAACCCATATAACTCAATGACAAAAAAATAAACTATCCAATGAAAAAATAGGCAGAGGACATGAATAGACATATTTTCAAAGAAGACATACAGATAGCCAATGGACACGTGAAAATATGCTCAACATCATTAATCAGGAAAATGCAAATCAAAACCACAATGACATACCACCTCACACCAGTCAGAATGGCTACTGTCAAAAAAGTCAAGAAGCAACGTGTGTTGGTGAAGATGTGGAGAAAGGGAATCCTGTACACTGTTGGGGGGATTGCAAATTGGTGCTACCACTATGGAAAACAGTATCGAGATTCCTCAAAAAATTAAAAATAGATCTACCATATACCCAGAAATTTCACGTCTGCATATTTATCCAAAGAAAATGAAAACACTAATTCTAAAAGCCATATTCATCCCTGTGTTCTGTGCAGCATTATTTAGAATAGCTGAGACATGGAACCAACCTAGGTGTCCACTGATAGATGAATAAAGAAGATGTCTCACACACACACACACACACACACACACACACACACAAACACTGAAATATTACGCAGCAATAAAAAAGAATGAAATCTTGCCATTTGTGAGAACATGGATAGATCGAGAGCGTATTAGTCTAAGTGAAATAAGTGAGGCAGAGAAAGACAAATACTGTATGGTTTTACTTACATGTGGAATCTAAAATCAAAACAAAACCAAATGAAACAAAAACAGACTCATAGTAACAGAAGCCAAAGGGATGGTTACAGAAAGGGTAGGCAGTGGGGGGATGAGTGAAAAGGGGAAGGGGAATA